CAACCTAATGAGCGATGGCCTCCAACCTAAAGAGCGATGGCCTCCAACCTAATGAGCGATGGCCTCCAACCTAATGAGCGATGGCCTCCAACCTACTAGCGATGGCCTCCAACTTATATGCAAGAACTCATATGAAAACCTACAAGAACTCCCGATTTCCGCTTGGCTTGCTCTTGAACTGGATGTCTTGGGTATGTTGGGTGTATTGGCCGAAACTCTCATGTACGCGGAGGTCTTGGGAAGCTAACAATCCGCTGACCAGCCAAAAAGGGCCAAGCTTGAAGGACACCAAAGAAAGTGCATCACCCAGACTGCACCAGATCATTCTCGTTAGTGCAAAAGAAAGGAAAGCAAAAAGGAAAGATAAAGAAAGGTCCAGAGTCCAAAAAGAAAAAGAAAAAGAAAAAGAAAGAACAAAGGAAAGATCAGAGAAAAGAAAGAATGCAAGAGCAATCCATAGGGCACAGCAGGCCAGGCCTCCCTGGAAGGCAATGCGTGCGCGGTTCTCATGCACCACCTCCCGTAGGCCGCGGCCCTTTGCATGCTTCATGATGCCTTCAACGACCGCATCGTGCAAAGTTACCAGCCAAGGACCAGTCTCCAGGTTCGCCTCGTTTCACGCGAACACGTGGATCGCTTCACGACGCAAGGCGACTACCACTCTGTCACTCAATGCATTCCAAACTCATTAAAATACATAACTTAAAAATAGAACACAACAATCTTCTATTGAGTTACTGATAGCAATGGCCTCCAACCTACTAGCAATGACCTGGAGGATTCAGGGAGAACCTTTCAACCAACTCGCAAGGCAACTTGGCAAGAAATGGACTTGTCTGCGCCCTGCACATGAATACTACTAGTAACAAGTGCCTTACTAGTAGTAACAAGAAGCTATTAGTAACAAGTGCATCGCTACTAGTAACAAGTGCTTCTTTCTTGTGTAAAGTCCCGATCGTTTCGTCTCGGTCCAATTGTCCCTTCTCCCATGTCCTTGTGTCCGACTGAGCGGAGCTCTCGACGCGACGCGGAGCTCTCATCCCGCCTTGGGATATCCTGCCTGCTGTGCCATCTCCACCGCATCTCTCAGAATCCACTCGGGCAGTCCATCCAACTCCGACGGATCCCTGATGAGGTACGCCCGATTCTCCAAGTCTCGATCGATGTTGTAGTCCCAAATCAAGGAGATGTTGAACACCGCAGCCCTCACCTTCTGCAGCTCCAGAAAGGCTTCCGGATCATCTCCTTAGGAACCGACGACATCGACGGACGGGCGCGGCTTCGAACGAACAAGATGCCAATTCGTCAGGCCGTCTTGCAGTTGTTTTGGGTGTTTGGAAAGCATCCTAGCATATAAGTACTATATTATATACCACTTTCTGTTTGACGTCTACTTCTTAGATGTCAGAAAAAAACAAGTACAAGTCTCTGTAGATGCCGTTGTGCTGCAAGTTCACCCCATCCTGCTCGAACAAGATCATCAAATGCGCGGCCGCTCGCCTCTGTGCCTCCGTAGAATTCTGGTCGAAGGCCAACAGCTGCAGAAAGGCGCGGGAGAAGCGATCGCAGCGCCGCAGCCGCCGCTCGATGTTCCACCGCGCCTGGGCGGCGAGTCCTCGGAGGAGCGGCAGGTCTTCGGCATCGGCGGTTGGAGCGGATCCGAATGAGCGATGTGCGGTGTTTAACAACCGATCTGTGGATTACTGGCGATGGCCTCCAACTCTGTGCAAAGGAGTTCTTGGTGCTTTGTCAAAATCTTGGCGAAATGTTTGAAGGCCTTCTTTGGTTTAACCTGCAACCAGTGCCAGGTTAAAGTAGGATTTGAAAAAGACTCTGACACATCTCCAAGACTCGGTAGGCCTTTCGAAACTTCACTGAAGGGTCCAAGACGTCCTCGCGGAATTTCATCGATAGGTCGGTCGATCTGATCGATAGGCCTTCCTCGACCGTTTCTTCCTTTGGGCGACCATGAAACGATCGGTCTAAATTCAAGAGAGACCGCATCGCCCCGTTCGTAGCGTCCGATCGCTCCTAGTAGTACGGCCAGGAGCCCCTAGTAGCATCGGAGAAGAAATGTGGATATCTGAATCTGTGCATTTGAAGCTTCCCATGCTGGGTTCTGTGTCATGAAGAAACAGGTGCCAGACTGCAAACTCAAAGGACCTCAAAGCAAAAACCAACCCCTCTTCTTCTGAAAAACAAACAAACAAAGTCGGCTCACGTCTCCTTCACATGTTTCACAGCCAGAAAGGCAAGCTCCACCTTGTCCACAATCCGTTCTAAGGGATCCAACAGCATTCGCCAATCATCTCCGACAAAGGGCACTCGGCCTGGTGCAACAGCAGGTGCAACAGCAGGTGTCTGTTTTTGTTGGTGCTTCTAAAGCATTGCCACCCAAATCGTCTCAAACAAGACACCCTCTTTGCAGCCTTAAGGGTGTTTTTTCAGACAAGTTCACCATTTGGTGCCCAGACACAGTGATGTGCCCAGATCTCCTCGACCGAGAACTTCTCCATCCACTCGTGCCCCCGCTCGGCATGCTCTGCTCGCACGTCGGCCCAGGGCACAAACTCATGAGCACCGTTGAGGAGGAGATTGGTTCCATGTTTCCTAAGGGTAGACCGAACTCACATCGATGTGACACAAAAAAAGAGCAGAAACGCTTTGACATCGATGTGACACAAAAATGGCGATGTCAAAGCTTGGCCACCAAGGGTCAAGTTGGCGATTGAATCACTACCACTCCCCTCCTCCTCTATCTCTTCATCCGTCCAATTGGCGCCCTCCTTTCTCCAAAGGACGCTGGCCTCACAGATTGGAAGCTCAGGAATTTCAAGCGCTTGGTCTTCGTCCTTGACACTGGTGTCTGCCTTATCTGCATATAGCGCAGGCCTCCGACCTTTCTCCGGACGCTACTAGGGGCTCCTGACCTTACTACTAGGAACAAGAAGCTACTAGGAGCAAAGGGCATCGCTA